AGCTCTGGACGTGTAGCTGGTAGCGGGCAGGGTGTAGAGTAGGGGGGGAAAGCTGGCGTATATATCTGAGAGCCAGAATGCAGCTGCGGAGCCTGCTGCAGTGTGTCTGTCTTTTAATACCTCTGAATCCGATGCTGCGAGATGGCAGCCTCCTCCTCGGGGAGGGGAGAGGTGGGACAAAGTGCCCTTCTTTCCCACTGATTTCCAGCGCTGCCAGAATTACCCGCTCGTCCTATGGTGATGGGATGGGTGGGTGATAGGAGGCGGGAAGCCCCAGACTGCGCTGCTGCGTCTGCCCGCTAACGCCCCAGACATGAAAAACTGTGTGTCAGGCTTGATTCAAAGGCTGATTTTTTTGCTGTACTTTCTGAATATTGCATTGATGTCTACGGGCCAGGCAGGGCAAGAGTGTCTGACAGAGGGGAGACCCTGTTTTTTAATTGCACGGATAAATGTGAGAATTTACTGGCCATACCTGGAGCCAGAAGGTAAAAGTTAAAAAGTCATAACGATCTGTGTGTTATTAGAGTTTGGGATCAAAGGAGCCTTTTGACAATAAGCAACTGGTCTGAATTGAATACCCCTGAAGCTGGAGGCTGGCAGCTGCCCCCCTTGGGTTACTGCTCCATGAAAGAAGGCAAAAAAGTGTGTGGTCCCAGCCCTTGCTCCTGGTGGCAAATGATGGTGTGTGTTTGTTAGAAGCTGCAGAAAGGTCAGGGACCAGATTTCTGAAGGTGTTTTAGAGACCTAAAAATGACATTAGCTACCTCATGAGACTGCAAAAAAGTGCCCGATTCCTGCAGGCGGTGGCAGTCCCAGCGTTTGCGTAGCCGGGTGCCGCGGTGCTTTGGGAGTCTGGCCCCAGCTGCTCTGCACCCCAAGGCTCAGCCCTGGATGGTGGGACGCGGCGTGCAATCACGGTGTGGGCAGAGGATTGCGTTGCTGGGTTTGCCTTTGCTGTGGTGAACTCCGGATAAATAAAGGAGGTCAGCCCCTCAAGCTACTACCCAGTATCCTCTCATGAGTTTTAAACTTAGTAGATGAAATAAATAGAAAAATACTGTTTGGGGAGACATAGTGAGGTTTAAAGTGCCTTGCAGAGAGGCGCTGGAGTTTTGCATGAAAAATGCACATCCTGAGCTCCAGTGAGCAATCCCTCTGGGACCACAGCAAGCCCAGATGGTGACTCCTCCAAGTGATTATTTTTCTGCCTTAAGCCTTTCCAGGAATTTGAGCGTGGGCAGGCTGCCAGCGGACACTGGCTGTCCAGACACTTTAGCAATGTTCCGTGTGTACTCGCTGCCAGAGATACCAAAGTCCAGCTGCTGTCCCTGATCTCTTTGTCCCCTTTACCTTCCCAGCCATAATTACACAGGCGTGTATGCACGCACGCACTCGTGTGACACACGCACGTACTAAGCGGGAGCAAAAAATCATCTGGTGTTTGCTGCTCGTTTGCAGAGCTCACAAATTGTGATCGACAGCTCTGAAGTTAAAGAGAAAAGAAATCTTAAGAGTCAGAAAAATTACTTGGATACAGGAAAAAAAGCGTACAAATAACAAACCGTGCGGCACACCACGGACGGCAGGCGTTCGTCTTTCTAGGACAGGCAGCAAAGAACAGTTTAACCAGGTCTTGTACCTCTTGCCTTTGAGACTCTCCGTTTGGGTTGTCTCCTTTTCGTTGCTTCCCAAGCGAAATCGGTCCTGTCTTATCTTTGCTGCTGCTGGAACTTGAATTATGCTGAAAACTTATGTTTTACTTTTAAGTCTTGAAGTAGAAGTAGGCTGTTTTATGCTGCACATCTGCATTTCTGCAAATCCAGTCCTGTGTCTGTTAGAGTTCAGAGTCTCACCGTGAAGTACTTGGGCTTGGAAAAGTGGGGCAACCTTCACCGCTCTGCGGCTGTCTCGTCCCTTGTCTCCGTTAAGCTTGTTCATTCCTCCTGTGCTCTGCAGGAGACTGTGGGCAGCCCTTTGGTTACCGGTGATGATGAAGTCAGCCTTGTGAAAGATTTACACACATTAAAAAAAAAACGAAGCAAAAGATTTAGTATTTGGTATTTTTGAAGGATGTTAGCTTTGACTTTGGAGGCTACCCAAAACTCAGTGGTTCAAAGCCATTTAGCAGAACAAAACCTTTACTGCAGCTCCCGCAGAGCGAAACTTCGCCAGGTTTCACACAGCTTGTAGTAGTACTTTCGATGCAGAGAAGCTGAACCCAGATGCCTCGGGCTTTCACAACGACCATTTTTGGGGAGCCTGGCTGATCTGTCACAGCAAAAGAGACTGGCTCTATTCGGTCCCATGTCCAGGCTCCCTCAAAGCCACAGCGTACAAGCACTGCGCATTTTGAGCCATCCTGTTGTGGGCAGAGGGGCCAGCGCACTGCTCCCAGCTTTTCCCCATGGGAATGTATTTAAATGCTGGGTTTGCAGCTCTTGTCTGTCTCTGCGAGAGATCGCAGGATGGTCCCAGCCCAGCACAAGCTCCCCGGGGCGAGGGGAGAGGGACGGGCACCCTGCATTGTAGGTGTCCCCCCCACGGTGTCCCGGGCAGGCGCCGCGGCCCGGAGCTGCTGACCTACCGGTCAAAGCCGGCTGCCCAGGGCAGGAGGGTACAGTGAGCTAAAGTTAACCAAGGATGACTGCGCAAATGTGAGCTCGGCGGTTTTATTTTTAGTCGAATTTAAAAATAAAAATCTGTAAGTCATGTGTAATATAATAATTTTAGCTGTTGCCAAGCCACGCTGAGCAGCTGTTGGGAGGAGGGGGAAGACCCATGCTGATCTAGCGGGGACCCTGTCTCCTGGCTGCCCTCGTCCGGCCGCGGTCGCCGGGCCGAGGCAGCGGTGCTGGTGGGTTGGGGCAGGTGGATGTAGCGGTAGCGGTGCCGAGCCGCTGCTTGCTCGCTCGGTGTGTGCCGCTGCTGGTGGGGGCTGCTGCCCCGGGGCCACCGCCCAAGGG